TATATATAGAAGAACTAGTATGAATTATGGAAAAATATTTTTTAAACGTCAAGAAATTTCAACGTTAGCAAATTTATCAATCGTGCTGTAAATTTCGTTTCATAAAATGTTAAAATAATTGTGATATACTTTTCACTAAACCAACAATAGTTACAATACAATAGGCTCGACAGAAATCTGAGCAGGAAACGACGAGTGGGTCTTCCAAGGATGATATGGAGATGACCGTGAGAGATGGAGATGAGATATTATGGGTAATCGGGGGCTCAGGCAACTAGGACAGCAGAAAATAGAACAAAGTGGAGGAGTGATGTTTATGCCCTGTGTTCCACTAGGAACACAAGGGAACAATAATAATATAGTTGTACAGTAAGCATATCATGATTTCTTAAGTCATAACAAATTCAGTCCTGCAGACTGTAAAGAGACTATTCCCACTGTCTAATTATGATCCTGGACTGCAGAATCAATAATTAAAACCTTTTTCAAAAGAACGGTTACTGAACAAATAATATTCTTCTCGATAACCTCCATTTCATCAGGTTCTACAGTTACGTAAACATAAAAGTCAATGAATTAGTGTCATTAACAATCTTATTGTTGTTTAAATATCGTCGAATCAATAACAGTAATACCAATGGACTACTGTTCGATGGCATACACATGACAATACATTAAATATCGGACAAATTAGGAGAAATAATCATAATACAAATTCATGAATTTATAGTCTACACTGAAGGCCAGTCAGGGTAGTAGAAATAGCACATAAAGCACTGGTTGTTTCAGACGATTCGCCATAGCTTTTACTGATTGGAGTATGTGACACCTGAATGCTTTTGCCAGTTTATCTAGCATCCGGTAGATGGTGAAGCAGGAGGATTCGTCAGTGCTGGCTTTGTAGACGACTTAGCCCAGGTTTTCTACTATTGAACTGTTGAGGCTTTTTACTACACATTTATTAAGCCATTCTGGTAGATGTTCTCGAGCGACCATGAAACAAAACGTTCCTAGAGCAACGACCAATATAACTCACTCCTGCACAAGTGCAGTTGAATTGGTAGATACAATTAGAGGTGGCTGGTCCAATCTAGGTACTTCATCTTTCAATTCAGGAATCACTACCAGTTGTGTAGAAAATAAAACTTGTAGTTTGCCAGCAATACAAGTTCTTTGAACTGGTTTTCCTAACTTTTTATAATTATCTCGCTAGGTATGTTACCCTTGAACTGCAGTCATATGTATGAAGGCTTCTTCTTTATTTAATAGTAAATAGTCACTTTTCAACTTTTTTAGTCGCAAGATTCGTGATAAATTTGTCAGGATAGCTATTTCCAATCAAGGTATCATCAAAATAATCATAAAACTGACTTATTCTGTACACTGACACAGGTATAACTGAGATAATTCTAAGAATTTATGGATACTTGTGTTCTGGTGAGAGTCATTATTGAACTCGTTGCTGTGATCACTTCAAATAACCTGTTTTCAACAAAGTTTCTTAAGTTTAACATGAAAATACACTTCAGATTGATTATGATATTTTAGTAATTAATCATAATGCAAAGGTGGTCTATCCCCCAAACATATTAAAAGTCTCTACATAACTGATTCGTAATATATTTATTTACTTTACCTTGTGTGATGCATGATGTTGTTGTCCTCTCTCTCTCTGAAACACACAGATCTCCTCATGACAACTTGACACAGTGTTTTTCACTCAAAACAATGGAAATTCATTAGAGTTTTAAAAAAGTCATATTACTTTTTTTGATGAATTTGAAAATCATCTTGTGTTTTCAATGTTCAAGTTTTCTAAGAATAAAACAAACAAATTACGATAGATTACACATGAAATTTGTAATTTTATGTTTTGGAAAGAGTATAACGAAGTTAATTATTGTAAATAGTTCTATATGAATTATTTTCATCTTTGGTGTAACATTGTTTATTGTTAATAACATCAGTCGTTCAATGTGGAACAACTTATAAAAACAAGAAAAGAAAGATACTTTACCCGTAAAACAGTCACGTAAAAATCTACCGTAGCAAAAAAAATTCCTTCTAAATTAGTACTAGGTCACTGGGTTACTGTTAAGGATTTTCAGATCATTTTTTGAAAAATAATTATGAATCGTTCGATTATTATTGTGTTTATAATGAAGTTGGAATGTGTAGAAAAACTGGTCGTTAAACTTGAAGGATAAACAATATAGACAGAGGTTATGGTAGACACAGTTTTAAAAAAATATTATTAGTAAAAAGCTACGTTTTCTTACTATATTCTATGTCGGATGAGATATATGCTTGAGGTATACAACAAGAGAGTTAGTATAAATCGTAACTTGTAGTCAAATAATATTTCTATAGATTCAACAAGGTGAACATTAGTACTCTTAAGTCAAACATAGTTCAAGTATATCAAATTTTGTTAGCATCTTGAACCATTTCAGTCATCGAGTAATTCAGGGTATGTAGAAATATGTAGGGATTATTTTAAGAAGACTCTTCTCAGTTAGAAGAGAGTTTGATGTGCCATGAGGATAAAACATAAGTATTAATACGATCCAAAAAATAACCTGATCACCGATCAGATCTGAATGAAACAGAATGAACTAGATTTCTTTCACAGTATGTAACGTCAATTGCATTAATTTCGTTTAGAGCTTACACTTTTAAATAGACACATTTATTTGTAACAATTGGTTTTGACAATTCAAATTCACCGCCTAGCTAAATGTTTATGTAAAATATACATTCATTCATTCATTAAAATAAACTTGAATTCTGATGTTTTACTTTGTCATCCTACAAAATTTCCCTGTAAACGGATGACAGAAAAATCGATTAACTTCAAACGGGAATTCTAATAAAATTTAGTGAGGAAATAGTCTGAACAAAAAAAAGCATTTACAACATGTTGAGTTTTTTGTGGTAATGGTTATAGTAAACGTAGTTCAAGCGTCCGTCGCTCAGCGGTAGAATTCTCGCCAACCACGCTTCAGATGGTTCGGGTTTGCTCCCCGGATGATTTACTCCATTACCTCGGTGAGACGGTAATACGACTAGTAAAAAGGAAAGGTAGGGCATGGAGGGCTAGTAACCTCATCCCCTAAAAATAAGCACCACTGCTACCGAAACTTCAAAACTCCAGCTTGAATCCCTGTGATCCACTAGGTGCATGAAGGAATAAAATAATAAAAAATAAAACGTAGTTCACCTTATTAGCCCTCTGTTCTACCACCATAGACACTTATGGTAGCTGACATCTGAAATTAGTTTGCCCGAGACATTTAGAATCCAAACTGGCTGTTGTTTTATCAACGGGAGCTCATAATTTGTAGGTTGCACGTTTTTATATGTTCACTGCCTTGGTTTAGTTTAATCTTCATTCATGATACGATTATATTACCAGAATTTATGTTAATAATTACCCGGTCGCCTTTACCTATTTCTTCTAGCCAAATTTCAGACATTGTAGCACAGTGTAATATCAGACAATAATTAACAATTCTAAGCATATTTATAACTAGCTTAGACTAAAATTTGGTCTACTTTCAATACTCTAATAGTAAACTATATTCAACCTCAAGTTATCGATATATTCTTCAGGGTTCATAAAGGCTTACGCAGGAAGCAATGTAATCCAAAGAGTATGATTGTCAATTTTTAAATGTTTTTGGAAATGCTTTTGTCAGAGTGTTTTAGGAATATTTGTTTCTCCCTTCCCCCGCAACTTTCTATTCTACAATAATAGACTCCAGTTTGGCGTTTTAATTGTACTCAGTTTAATTTTTTACCAGTATTACTTTTCAGGCAGAAGGAATTCACTGACTATATATATTAGCTCATCTTATTGCTATCCTGAACACTGATTAAGTATTATCTATTGGATGATACTAAAAATATAATTTTTTATTCTGTATTATACTACTGATATAAATGATAATTTATAAATTAACTTTTCTAAAATTAGGAATGTAGTCGAAGAACCTATACCTCCCCTTACCACTCACTTAAACAGTCTAATAATACTCGGCATGAAAGGAGAGCTGTATGCAATACAGACATCAGCAAAGAACTCAGTTTTCACTCATATAAGAGAGTAAAATTTTCATACTGTCACAAAATTTCTCTTCATGTTTTTCTATCAGCTAGTTTTATTACAAAATGTTATATCTTCTGATAACTTAAAAATTCGACGGCAAATAGTGGCTCAAAGTTTTCAAGTTACCTTTTGATGTGAGTATGCTAGGTTTGTTTTATTTCTGGCGTTCGATATGATACCACATGGTAAAGTACAGTTTTCCTTCTATGTTCGTATTATTTTTACGGTTAAGGAAGCCTTGGAACTAGACATTGTGCTTATGATCACCCATAAGCAAGGCTATTCTGAAACCGAAGAATAACTGATATCCTCTCTGAGATTCGAAGCCGTTATTCAGTACTGCAGGGTTTTCCGGACACTGGTTGCTTCGAACCTTCAAAGAACACTAAAAAATGCACCATGTTTCAAAATTATTTAGCTGAGGGATCACACTGTAAATCCAATCAATAAAATTCATATAATACTGGTTAAATCCCTAAGACCGATCACTGTAATCAGTGTTACCACTGATTGTTCAAGTGTGGTCCACATTCACAAATAAGCTGAGAACTTCAAATTAAAACGTAAAGTCAATAGGTGGGTGAATATATCTAATGTCGTTTAACTGAATTAATGATTTAATACACAGATTACCAAGTTTTTTTAGTGACAGCTGTTACATCTTCAGTAAAAAGAACTCCTTAGAACACATTTGTAAATGCTGATGGTGAAATATACTCATCAGAATGCCGCCATAGGTATCATGCAATTTCATAATTAGCTTATATAACAATTTATATCATTTCTTTACTAAAAATACGATAGTGGTTTTTGTTTTATTAACATTAACTTGTTGTCAAAATTTGGAAAAATATGTTATTGGTTTTTAAATGTTTTTTTTTCTTTATAATAGTTTAATTCACGAATACTTCTGAAAGGAACACCTGATTTCGACGATGACTATGATTCACATTTTCATGGTATGTTATGAGTTATTAGCTTTTTAAATAGTGTTTGAAAACTTTTATAATTATTATGATTATTATAATAATAGATTTACTTCAAGACTCGAGTGTTGATTTCACCAGTATTCAGGAGAAACAAGTCATGTATTGATCAAATCGACACTCTACGGATCATCACTGAACAAAGCTTGGAATGCCAGTCACCTCTCTATTTTAACTTCATCGACTTTGAAAAGGCCTTCGACAGCGCAGCGTCGATTGAGAGGTCATTTAGCAACTACTTCGCTACTACGGGGTGCCACCGACAATTATACATCTCATCTAACAGTTGTACGACAGTGCTGCATGCCAAGTAGTCAACAACGGGAAAATTACGGAATCCTTCGAAATGAAGACGGAATTAAGGCAAGGCTGCCTACTATTGCCAATGATTGTCCTGATTGCAGTAGATTGGATAATGTGACAGACAGTGGGAAATGAGGAAACTGGCATAAAATGGGCCCACACAAAAAGAGACTTGGAGGATCTGGACTTCGCCGATGATATATATCTGATTTCCCACAAACTGGAAGATATGCAAGTGAAAAGCAACAAGCTGGCAGAAGAAGCATCCAGAGAAGATAGGACTTCAGGTGAACATAGATAAAACAAAGGTGATCAAGATTCCTGGCAAACACCAACAGCAGCAGCAACAACAGACAACAATCAGCCAGCATAAATGGGAGGAACCTGAAAGAAACAACCTCCTTTACCTACCCACCCGGGAAGCATCGTTTCAATTACAGGCGAAGGGACTGACGAGGATATCAAAGAAAGAATCGGAAAAGCAAGACAAGCTTTCATTACTCTCAAGTCTGTGTGGAGGTCAACAGCACTCACCATCAAAAATAAGATTCGGATTTTCAAATCCAATGCGAAGTCAGTCAGTACTACTTTACGGATCAGAGACTTGGCGCGTCATGAAGAGTACCTGAAACAAACTACAGACCTTCATCAACAGTTGTCTTCGCTCAAAACTACTCAAGATCAGATGGCTGGCCAGAAAAGATCAGCAACAGGCAGGGATCTCTGGCAATGAGCGAACCAACACAGCAGGAGTCGATTGTGCAACAAATATGTAGGAAGAAATGGAGATGGATTGGCCATGCTCTGAGGAAACAAACCATCAAGTGACATCACTAGACAAGCCATTGCACTGGTGGAATCCGAAAGGGAAGCGGCGAGTTGGTCGTCAGTGCAAGGGTGACTTGGAGGAGGTAATGTGAGGAGGAGATGAAAGCGTGTGGGCAGACTTGGAGGGGAGTGAAAAAGTTGGCAGAAAACAGAAGGCAATGGAGACGCGCAGCTGAAGGCCTATGTTCCTCTCGGAACTAAAGGAAATAATAATAATCAATAGTTTTAAGTTAAATTCACACACATATTGACAAAGTTTCATTGAACATGAAAAGAAGGAACAGTGAAAGGATCAAATAGTGTTTACCAAGAAAAACTGGAATGGAAATTAAGGGAATTATAAAGCTTACACTGATTTCACAGTTTGTAAATAATGTCATCTATTTTGTAATAAGCATGTATTATCCGTGCTCCTTCTTCAGTAGCTTTTTGACTGACACACAGATTATCAATAGCTTTTTAAAGGTAATACTGCACAAACTACTTGTATCTATTAATAAGTAGGTCACACAACAGTTGCAATTTCACAAATAATTTCAAAATGACTGCATTCAAAACACAACCAACTTTTTTCAAGAGTGTATCGTTAGTTGATGTTTGCAATAAAACTGTACGGTATACAATGAAAGGTTAGACAGCTTATATGAATACAATGAACGAAGCTATCAGTTATGTGATTGCCTTCATTCTTGTTTATCTGAAAAAGACATTTATAACAGTTGAGTTTATGGGCGGGTTAAAAAGTCATCCAGTAAACTACTCAAACCATAGCCTGCCTGATTTTCCTTCGCTACATAACTCGTTTTTTTCTTGAGCTCTAGGCAGGTATATAAAGCGAATCATCAAGACTACATTACACTGGTAGTACTGACGCCTGAATTATTGGATAAATCCTCTTTTGTAAATAATATCTTCATCTGCTTAGAGAGAGAAGAAATGGCATTTATTACTTGACCGTACTACAGTTAAACTTAGCTAAGATCCTTTCTGGGTCAACCTTAATGAAATGAGGAGTTAAAACTGTAGGTATAATGTGATTTCAACGCATTTATTAGATATATTTGCATCATTCTGTATGATTGTTATTCTCACTATGAGATCACTAGAACCTCCAGTCTCATATCTTTTTTCAGTTCACAGTTCAAGCTGAGGCATTTCGCTTTATTGTAAAGGAGGACTGAAATCCAATAAAAAAACGCTTACAAGTTGCAACTATTTTTTTCCAATGTATTTCTAGGATAAAATACAATTCTCTCTCATTACGTAACTCATTTCAGTTCATATAAGCTTTAAGTAATTTGTTGATGTGTATTGTATAATTAATGTACTGAAAGCCATTCCATGTTTACAATGATTCCTTAAATATAAAAGTACCACTACTGAATTGTTTTTATTTCCATTCTGTCTTGTTCAACTTGAAAAGAAAGCTTTACTTAGCTGTATAAGCATCGTAACAGGAGTCTGAGTACTGCGTAGTTGGCAAGTGTAGCAGTTACTTTTAGTCTGAATATGAGTTGGTTCCTCAGGAATGTCCCCTTTTAGAAGATTAACTACCATCAAACATACTTTCCATCTATATTTACAGTTTTACTGTGAAAATAATAGAAGCATCATCCAGACGTTAAGAAGTGCTGATGATCTCTTCAGTCAGAATCACAGTTTGCTCATTGTGACTACCTGATGTATATGGTGTTCAATTTATGTATCACTGAACTTTGTTGTCCACTGATCTCAACAGTGTAAAATGATTGGTTACAGGATTTCATTATGAGCTGACATCGGTTAGAGAACCACTGGAAAACCTGAGAATACTGGGCAGCGGCTTCGTTCTAATTCGGAACTCTTCGACAGTAAACATTCACTGCCGGGGTTCGAATCCAGGACATTGCGGTTACAAGGCGAGTTCGTAGACCATTGAGACACTGGAACCCGACCCAATGGCCCATGAATTCAAACTTCTGCCGATTCGCGACCTAGCGCGACCTATAGCCATTGTCTTCGGCGACTATTTGTCCGCATACCCGACCCGCTGCACCCTACTGGTCACCACTTCCCACTAGCGCCCCACTAACTTCCTGAATAGGGCCATTCACTAGTGAGCATCTCCTGGGTTTTCCACTGGTTGTTTAAACGATATCGGCTCATGATGAAATCCTGTTACCAATCAATCAAATCCCTGCAAATCAATACTTGAATGCAAAATGAGTTATCTCCGATAGACAGAATTTTTAATATATTTGTGCATTGAAGTTTCTGTAGCGGTTTGGTTAAGTTTTGGGGGTGGAGTTGATAGCACCACGCCCCAACCCTCCCTCTTTATCCGTGCTTGGGACCGGCTAGAAAACTCTCAAGCTAGTAGTTTAGGCGAGGTTAAATGAGTGCGTCGGCCGGGGGATTGAACCCCGGACCATGTGCATAGTCGGCGAGCGTCCTAACCACTATACCACCGATAGACAGAGAGATATGTTTACAAAATTGAGAGACTGAAGTAAAATTTAAAATTTTCTTCGGTGATAAGACTTCAAAAAGACATTTAGGTTATTTTTGATTGCACACTAGTCAGTAACCAGTGTAATGTGTCTAGCCCTATCTTCCCTGCAGACTGAATTCTATCAGTCAGGTTTGCAATGTGGCCACCATGCTAAGTGGCTCGCCATCATAGTCCACTGTAAATTGTTGGTATTAGATAGTTTGAGGCAATCGGCAGGAAGCCTTCGACCTAGGTTTCGTGCTAGTTAACACTTATCAGCAAGGCGTATCTGCAACCTTGAAGGAATTTGAGGCCGTGTCACCCAGTGATACAATCAGAGACATTACCACTGAGCTATTCAGGCTAGTGATGACCTCCTGTAGGACTGTATTGGATATTGGTTCTCAGATGAAAGTTTCTCTTAGTAAACTTCACGGCCAAGCTGTTTATTGGGTCTTTAGTCATTTTCAAAGAACAAAGAACCCTCTTATCACTATTAGTCTTTTCTTGCGCTAACTGCTTATTCATCTAGTCTAATCAATATCAAAATGGTATTTATGCTTGCAGATACATACTTAAATCCCCAATAGTTTCACTTCATATATCAACTACAAAGAAAAACATCTACAGTATTTTTATTACTGTAGAAACAGTGTTATATTGTGAGTTGGTTATCAAGCTGTCTAGAAAATCTACAGACTCAGTCAACTGTCTTGTATCAAACATCATCATTCTATTTCAAACACGGATAAAACAGCTTTTAATACAGTGCCTTTTATTGGTTATTATCACTATAATTTTAGTTCATTTATATTGAAATAAGGTGATATTCTTTGAATCCTTTATTTTCACATCTGCCTCTTAATAACAACCACTGAACAATGATAAAGTCTTGAAGGTTTTCTCAGAATAAACTCATTCTTTTCAACCAACTGTTTATTTTAAATTAGTGTACTTGCATACTGCACACAGTATTTTTCACGTAAATCAAGCATTTCCTCTCAAGAGATTAAAAAAATAATTAAACGTTTCTTTAAGTTGGTCGCCTCAATCGATTTAAAGCATTCTCAAAAAGCTTTAAATGACCGTGTGAGTTTCTTAATAATTTATTCTATAATAGACTCAATTCATAGATGTTTTGTAAACAGTTACTGCGTAAGTAAGCAGGGGGTATACAAGGGATGATGAGTCTTGTCAAAAGGCACTACAAAACCTGTCCTTTATAATTACTAATATACCTTAGTACAGTTTGTTTTATTGATACATGAAGGTTAAATGCATATATCCGCATATTTTAAAATTCATGACTCATAGTTTTGTGAAATCAAGCTATACTTAAAGAATGACTTCGTAATAGGCATGAATAGCCAGG